GTGTTGCATGTCCCCCCACCTTTGAGGGAATTACCACTCTACCTCCAAGTCAGGCCTCCTCTCAGTTCAATCTGTTCTGTATCTCCTCACTCAGGACATTCCAGTTCTACATCCAAGCCATTGGGTACCTGAATAACCTGATTTATTCCCGTATAAGGAATGTCTTTCACCAGAATGACACCATCTACAGTTTGTCTTCAAATGGTCGATGGTCCAAATACACCAGCCATCTTGCCCATGAGCACACAGGTTCTGTCTCCTTCTCCTGCCCCCCTCCTTTACCAGACTTAGCCCAGTGGGCTTCAGGCAGAGCCAGGCCCTCTGGTGCCCCTGCAGAACCTGAGACACACTCATACTTGTACTTCCCTAGTGCAAGGGAGCTGAGTTGTGAAGGTGTCAGATAATGTGCAGGGAATTACCTGTGCTCTCACATTGCTGAAGCAACATTGAAGAAGGGCTCTGTGGGCTGTGCTCCAGAGGGAAACTTGTCTTGCATCAAATGGTACTGAATTCCTATTTCTGACGCACACACCACACTCATCCAGAGCTCTACAGCACTTCTAGATTGGGGTGGGGGTGGGGGCATACACATGGAGTTACTCTAGGTTGCTGTAGCTCTTGGCTCTCTCTTGTTCTGGGATAGACCAAGTGATAAAGCAGAGGAAGGCAGAGCTCCAGAATGAGGGAGAGCTGGAGAAGGTCAGAAAAAAGAGGCACTTGGATTTTCTGGACATCCTCCTGTTTGCCAAAGTGAGTATGTGTGGGTAAGGCCTAGTGCTTTGCTCAAAATCACAAAGCAGGGACAAATCCTGTTCAGTTACCTGTATCTCACCCCAGATGGAGAATGGGAGCAGCTTATCTGACGAAGACCTGCGTGCTGAGGTGGACACCTTCATGTTTGAGGGCCATGACACCACAGCCAGTGGCATCTCCTGGGCCTTCTATGCTCTTGCCATGCACCCCAACCATCAACAGAAGTGCAGGGAGGAGGTACAGAACCTCCTAGGGGATGGATCCTCCATCGCCTCGTAAGAAAGAGCTAAGAGACCAGAGAGCCCACTGTCTGGTAGGGAGATGGTCTTAGATTGTCCAGGCCTTGCCTGCCCTTCAGGTTGAACTTCATTTCAGGGAACACCTGGACCAGATGCCCTATACCACCATGTGCCTCAAGGAGGCCCTGAGGCTCTATCCACCGGTTCCAACTGTTTCCAGAGAGCTCAGCAAACCTATAACCTTCCCTGATGGACACTTTTTACCCAAAGGTATAACCTTCCCAGAATCACCTAAGCTCTCCCCAGGGATAAGATGTGTTTCAGCAGTTCTGAACCTTGCTGGGTCTTTCTTTATTGTCAGTAAATGAATACTTCTTAGTCACAGAGCACATTTTTCACATGTAGGACATAAGCCTAAATGACCTATAAAGTTCCTTCTAATTCTGATATTCTGCATTGCTACTATCCTAAGCTTCTCTTGTTCTTTAGCTAACATTCTTTCTTCTGTAGAATCCATGGTCTACTGATGCTGCAGTTAGTGCCAGTTTGGTGGTAGTGACATTCTTTGATTCTAATACTCTTGATTCCAATTCTACAACCCAACACTGCATGATTTGTGAACATACCTGTCCTTCATGTGTCTTCATTGTCACATCATTTTTATCATCCTCTATATCTGATATAATACATTGAATACTTGGTCAAAAAAGTGTGCAGAACTACATATACAGGTCAGTAAATGTGATGTGCATCCTAACCTGTGGAAACTTCTTCACAAAGAAATGCTAGCCTTTAGATTTTAGCCTCTAAAATTCTATTCCCTAAGATGTGCAGGATGGCAAGACAATCACATAGTGGCTGGGGAGATGTGGTTCTTGCCTTGAGTTGTGATATATGATCATTGAATTCCATGTCATGGGTCATATGTGGTCCAGTCACTGAGAAACCCTCAGGTTGAAGGCAGAAGGCAGTTGAGGACCACATCTAAGACCCCTGCTGTGGTAGCAAACCACCTGTTTCTTTACACTCCCAATAGGCATGAATGCCAGCCCTGCCACATCCTACCTGTTGGATCATTGACAATTCCTCTCTGAAACTTAGTTGCCTCATCTGGAAAATGGGAATATGACAATGCTTTCCTGGGAGGGTTGTCGTGAGCACTGAATGAATGAGTGTATGCTCCTCAATGGAAACCCTTTATCAACATAAGTTCTCATTTGATTTATTCCAAAAAGTAAGGTCCAACTCTTTCTTCCTTCTCTCTGAGTCATACTTTTCTGCTCCTCACCTGTGCTCAGGTAGTTTACCAAGTCCACCTATATCTTTTGCAGCAGGATCACCCTGCTCAAAATGATGATTTGTGGCACTCAGATATTTTGTGCAGGCATGTCCCCTGTTGGGTGAGGGACCAGAAACCCACCCTATGGGCATAATCAGTCTTATCTCTGTCTCCTACCTACTGCCTAGGTATCCTGATCTCACTCTCCATTTATGCCCTTCATCACAACCCTAAGGTGTGGCCAAACCCTGAGGTATGAGGTCCCTGAGAGGAAGGCGGGTGAGGGAAGGGGATGATTTCAGGACCAACACCTCTTCCTACTCCTTCCCCTGTGTTTACTGTCCCCTTGTGATTTGAAAGAAGGGGTTTGACCCCTACCTTTCCTGGCTTTGGTTCTCTTTCTGCAGGTGTTTGACCCTTCCCGATTTGCACCTGATTCTCCCCGACATAGCCACTCCTTCCTGCCCTTCTCAGGAGGATCAAGGTGAGGTGTCCTGTGCGGTAATTGGGTAATAGGGGATGAGGGTAATACCTGTAGCATTCTCTGCTGTTTGTGACCTCCTATGCCTACAAATGACATTTTCAGATACACCCTTCTTTGTTGGTGTTGTGGAAAAGAAGCCTTGTGTGGATGTATCTGTGCACAGAAGAAAGGGGACATTTTGTGGAAAATCACAGAGACCTTGGCCCAGTGCCCTTCCCAAAGGCCAGCCAAATCTCAGTGTCAGTAGATATTACATATTCCAGTATGTCCTGGTGCTTTCCTCAAATTAGAAATATGGTTTCAGGAATTAGAAATTCTCCTGTAAGTTTAAGTTCAGGTGATGTGCTTTCTCATCACCAGGAACCTCAAAGGGTAGATTCTTCTCACACATTCTCAATCCAGCCACTACCCTTTACAGTTTATTCCATGTTTCTCAAATCACTGCAGCAAGTGATTAGTCTGCCTGGGTTTATTTTCTGGGTGCCTGCTATCTGCCAACTCTTCAGTCAGATTTTGAAAGCTTACAGTAATCCATCAAAAAAAGTTTTACAACATATTGGCAGTCTCTCCCAACACCATTTTGACTGCATGTTAATGATCACATTCTTCTTACAACTTTCCCAGTTGTCAAAACTGGACAGATGTAGTAAGATAGAAATACCTTGAAATTACAGTTAGACCCAATACAGCCCAAGTTTGCATACAAAGCATTAAAATGGGGACAGTAAACTGCCTTTGACAGAAAATTACTATTTTGTATATACTATATAGAATTTGAGAGATTCTTGGTGTGTGAAATATAAAACACAATTGAAGTAGCTGCTGACTTGGACAAACACACTCCAAAAGGTCTGCTGTGATAACCCTCAGAGGCTACAGGAATTGTTTAGTAGGATGTAACTTACTCTAATCTTTATAAAGAAGTAATAGAAACAGACTTTTCTCAGTCAATACCTCTATGAATTCTTCAAATGGGGAAACAACTTTCATACAACAGGCTTTAGGAAACTTGTCCTTTCAGAAATTGACTTTCTACAAATTGCTTTTTAAACCCAAGACTTGAGTACTTCCTCCTACATTGGCTGCAAATCATATTGCTGCCACTAGAGGACAGGAGAGTACTAGGTAACTCAATTTTTAGAGAAATTTCTTACATTATTTTAAACTCAAGTAAATTGAATTCTTTACATCTAGTGAAGTTAATTGATTTAATTCAAATATACAAGAAGGTTTTAAACCAGCCTCTGTGTGCCAAGTCCTATACTAGGTAAGAGGAACACAGATTGATGATACCATCCCTCCTTTCAAGAGTTCAGTCAAGGGCAAAAATGTGTTCTACAGAAGGAATAACCATGCTTAAGGCGAACATCATTCCTTCCATTATTCTTTCACTCTTGGTGGGATGTTCCATGTTCCCAGCACTGTCTCAGTCTCTGGATTGCGATGTGTCCTTAAATAATGGACCAGTGGTGCCACTAGGGGCCCAGGAAGGAGAGGGATAGTGGAGCAGGGTTGAGGACCAACAAGTCATTTGCCTGAGCGTTAAGGAAGTACAGGCAGAGGTGGAGGGAGAGCATGTTCAGTGACCTCAGCAACATGAGCTGAGGTAGAACATGGTGCTGCACAGGTAGGAGGTAGGTGACACAGCAGACATAGAGGATGTGGATGCAGCTGAGCTATTTGGACACTGTACTGACTGATGGAGGACATGGAGGAATCAATGTGAAAGGAGGGGATGCAGGGACACCAGAGAAGTCTAGGATGAAAACACTGAAGAATGCAAAAGGGACATTTCTGGAATGCAATTAGAAGGATACAGAGGTGGGTGGCCTGAGGCTGGAGAGGGAGTCAGGAGCCTGACCACTGAGTGGGAGGCACACGGGGCTGCAATCTGCAGGTACCCAAACCGATGCTCCCTAAAAGAGGTTCCTCATTAACATTTGACTCCTCTCGGAGGAACTTTCTTGGATCTCCTAAATGAAATAAACTAACTAATACTTAACTCTTAAAATGACTCAAGAAATGATCTTGAAATGATCAGACTGTCCCTCTGGCCCTGGAGAGAGAGAGAGAGAGAGAGAGAGAGAGAGAGAGAGAGAGAGAGAGAGAGAGAGATTCCATGCCTATAAGAGCAGAAGTAGATCAAGGGTAGCCATGTACAGCTAGAAAGCTCTGTCAAAGGTCAGGAGAGAGTAAAGCCTGGGGCAGAGCTTTGCATATCTGTAAGGAAAGGGGTCAGGCTGGTATATGAACTAAAAGTCAGTAGTTTGTTGTTGCTGTTGTTGTTATTGTTGTTTGTTTGTTTGGCTTTTGGTACCGGGGATCGAACTCGGGACCTTGCACTTGTGGAGCAGGCACCAGAACTGCTGAGCTAAATGCCAGGCCCCTGGACATATGAACTAAATGTCCAGCTCTGGGCTGGGGCTCAGGCACCAGTGCCTGACTAGCTCAGAACAGAGCCTGAGGCCATATCTCATCTCACTGTCTGTCTGAGCCAGGAACTGCATTGGGAAACAATTTGCCATGAATGAACTGAAATTGGCTGTGGCCCTCACCCTGCTCCATTTTGAGCTACTGCCAGATCCCACCAGGGTCCCCTTCCCAATACAGCGATCCACCTGCATCTCAGGAAGCTCCACTAACCCTGGTGAGACAACAACAGGCTCTGAGGGTCTCTTGCCTACTATCCTGTCTTTCTCTCACCTGCTCCTGTCCTGTCCCCAGCCTGTCCATTCATCTGGTTTCTATCTGCTCACCTTCCTGCTCTCCTGCCTCTTTTCTGTCTGCTCTTGTATCTCTCACCTTTCTTCAGGCTTCCCACCTGCTTGCCTGTCTACATGTCTCCCTCCTGGCTGCATCTCTGACAGGCTGTCTAGGCCCCGATCACCTGCTTGTCCTTCACCCTACCTACCCCTCTACCTGTTTTTTCCTTTTCTACCTGCTGATTTTTCTCTGTGTGAGCTTCCCACTGCTGCTATAATCAACTACCGCAACCTTTGTGGTTTTAAGTAACAGAAAGCTATTCTCGTACAGTTCTAGAGCTCAGAAGTCTGAATGGGTATCACTGGGAGAAGATCCAGATGTTGATGTGGCCAGCCTCTTCTGCAGGGTCCAGGAGACAACATTTTCACTTGCCTTTCTACCCTAAGGATGCATTCCTTGCATTCCTTGGAGCTGGTTCCTTCTTCTTTCTTTAAAGGATAATTTACCCATCTCAAAATCCTTTACTTAATCAACCACTCAACCTTTAGAGTTCCTTCTGACATACGAGGTAACATATTCATGGGCTTCAAAGTTGAGGTCTTAGACATCCTGGGAGGACATTACTCAGCCTGGCTCTGTCCCTCCCTATCACCTGATTTCTCCATCAAAATCTCTCCTGCATGGTCTCCGTCTACCTGTGTGTCTCTCACTCAAACCTCTCCATCTCCCTCCTCCCTGCAATAAAGTTCCTAATGACACGTGGAGTGTGTTGTTCCCTTGGAAGGATATGACAGGGAAAAAGAGGCAGAGGGAGAGGAGATAAATCCCTTCTGAGGAGGGAGGAGATGACAAGTGGACTGCAGTACCAGTACTTCTGCCTGGTCTTACGCAGCTCACCCTCTTTGGGTGGCCTCATACATGTGACCCTTCATTCCCCATACTAGTCCAGCTGCTGAGGCTCCGGTAGCTGAGTTTACACAAAGGGCTTTTCTCTGGGACCTCAGACAGAGAAGCTCACATCCGTCAAAGAAAGAGACAAGGCCTCCATTACATTCAAGGACTAACATTTCTTGTACTCGATTTTTAAGAATAGGTTCCAGCTACAGCTGATCTTTAGCTGAGCAGGAAAGGCTTCAGGTCTGATCTAGCATGAGGGTCTCAGGATCTTGCTCTTCACAGATCAGATGAGAAGTGAAAAGAGAACCCAGCCTAGCCATATCACCAAGTCACCTGTCAGCCTCCCTCACATACAGGATCTAAAAGCTCCTCAGGAGGTTCCGGGAGTGGACAGCTGTCTGTAAGAGCTGGGAGGAGCCCAGTCCAGTGGGAGAGGATGTCAGAACCCAAGCAGCTCCTCCCCCTCAGGACAGCCCCATGCACTCTCCCTGGTTGGTTACCCTGAAGGAGAAGGGGCATCACCAACTCTGCCCACAATTGGTGATTGCCTGGGTGCTTGGTACTTCTTACTCGTACCCTCATCCCTGCTCCTATCCCTTTATGTATTCCCACCAGAGTCCCTGGGCAGGTGTTCTTGCTTCTGTTAGCCTTCATTAAACCAGGCCCTGGATCTTTTGCTGGTTCTGAGCATAGGTTCCCTTGTTACCTTAAACCATTCTGAGCCTAGGGCCTTAGATGCTATAGACAGAATTTCCTGAAGTCCTCTGATGTACTCAGTATGTTATGGTCCATATCTTCTACCCAAGGATCTTCTCCCCAAGTTGGAACCTACAGTCAAGACTCTCCTGGCCTTCTAAGTCAATGGGCTCATTTGGTCTTGCTCTGCGAAGGGACAGAAGAGGACAGGCTGGACTCTTCACCAAGTGGAGAGGGGAGAGTTGGGTAACAGAGTTAGCTGGGAACATAAAAACAAGATGTCCAGGAGGGTGCCCTGCATCAGGTGGTGCAAGAGGTGATGCTGGCCATGCTCAGAGAGCAGAGGACAATAGAAGCTCAGGATTCTGGGTGTCCAGCTGCAGGAGACCAGCTTGAAACTACACTGAGAAGGCTTTAAAATATTATTGCATTGGCTTATAACTCGGCTACTGACTAAAACTGAGTTAATCCAAAGCCCATGTGTCACTAGCCAAATGAGCCTTTGAATTGCAAATGGAGACAAAATTCCCCATCCCAATGGTCATAGTTTAAATCTCAATGATTGATGATACTGTCATGTATCATGGCAAGATGACACTACAGCTGAGGAATTATGACTCTGTGCAGCCATTCTCCTAGATCAAACTTTAGTTAAAGATAATACAGGTGGGTTGTTAGCTATGACCTGCAACATAACACAGGTGGGTTGTTAACTGTGACTTGTCTTAGCAAAAATGCAATCATTCCTCCCTTTTACAGCCTAGCTCATTGGTGCCTCAAGTCCCGCTATTCCTTACTTCTGCCTTTATGCCCCCTTGCTATGTTTTATAATCGCAAATACTGACAAATTGAGAGCTTGTGTTCTTAGCCAGGAAGAGCTAAGGTCAGGTGGTCTTATCCAGGAGAGAGCTAAGATCAGATTCCAGCCCCCCAATAATAAATTACCATTTGTTCTTATTCTTCATTTTTTGTTCTTTGTATATTATTCTTTCATCCTCTGCTGTACCCTCAGTCAGGTGATTGAGCATTTCCCGATGACTGGTCAGGCATTCCCTGAGTGCCAGCCGTGAACATGTGCTATAACTACAGGATTCCACAGGGTGGGAAAGTGTGACTGCGAAGTGACCTTGCTGCCTCCAAGCAATGGGCAAGACCCAGGTTGAGTCCCACTTACGTGCACATCCCCCAAAGACACACAAATAGAATAATGTAAGCCTCTCCTGTATATTCATTGAACACTGCACACTCTACTCACACACAAACATGCACACACATTCCCAGGGTCACAGGAGGCAGCAGGGTGTGTTTGAAGATCTACAAGGGAAAACTCATCTGTGGTGCCTACCAGTCACAGCCTCCATCCTCCCCCCTCCAGAAAGCCTCTCTCCTCTCTAGCACCAGAGCTCTCTGGTCTATTTCCCACCAACAAACACCCGCCATGAGACTGTCAGTACTAATGATGGATTCTTGGTTTAAAGACACCAGAGTCAGGAGGTGTCCTAGATGAGGGTCTCACATGCTCTTTCCCTTAGTATTGAAATGGGATCATAGTCTATTCCCATCAGGGGAGCATCAACCCTGCTCACATTTGGTGACTGTCTGGGTGCTGAAGGTCCAAAGAGATACAGGAAATGGATGCAGCTGTGCTCAGGTGCCACCCCAGGGTTCCAGGTGGTTATGACCTCAAGGCTTAGCTCCCACCTAGGGCATGAGGTGGTCATAACTGGAGGCTTAGGCCCCACTCAGGGGCACAAAGTGTACCCCTTGCGATCATTGAAACCTCATCTTCACTTGTAGGGAGAGCAGTCTTTTGAGATGCTGTAACAGAGAGGGGTGTTGGCACCATGAGATACAGAACAGAGAACCAAGAGGCACACCCTGGCTGGGACCTCTGCATCATACACAGTTGGGCAAGGAGGTTTGGATCGTCACCAGTTGGCCTATGTCAGGTTGGCCAGGGCTGTAACCTTCCAAGTGTGAAAGAACCAATGGCATGGAGAATATATCTCTAGATGGCACACACTCAAGGCACCATAGAAACATCACCACATTCCGAAGCTAGAATTCCTCTCTCTTGCCCCCAACTCCAGTCTCCAGTCCTCTTCCTCAATAGCTACCTAATTCCTGGACTGGAGCCTCCCAGTGGCCTTACACCTTGATCCCTAGAAGTGTGTGTGCCCACAGCCATCATGCAGCTGCTGCAGGAGCTGCCAGTGAAAGACCACTGGGTCATTATGTGACCCCATGCTTGAGGTTTTCTCCAAAAGTGCTTTGTACCTTCATACCTCACCCTCAACTCAACACCTAATTCAAGGGGGGGGGGGATTTCTTTCACCTTGGAAGTTCCCCTCTAACGCCACTCTGCTACCTTCCCTAGTCTAACTATGAATTCCAAGAGCACAATATGACTGAGACCCTAATGCTGAGAATGGAGGGGTGGCACAGAGACACATCCCAAGAGGGTCAGAATAGACAGCAGAAAAAACATGCTCCATATTTTTTGACCTTGCTTAAAATTATTCACTGTTTTTTACAGTTTTGATTTAGGTCATTTGTCCTTATTTCAGTTATGTTACATTATTTTAGAATTATTCATTATTTTGTACAGGCTTGATTTAGGTCATTTTTCCTTATTTCAGCTATATTACGGGGCGGGGGAGAGACAGAGGGAGGGAGAGAGAGAGAGAGAGAAACACCTCTCCAAACTGAATAAAGGAGATGTGGTTTTTTATAAAATGGAGTACTACTCAGACATAAAGGACAAGAAACTGGAGACATTTATAGCTAAATGGATGCACATTGAGGCCATACTCTTAAGTGAAATAAATAGGACACACATGTGTAAATACTGAATAGTTTCTCTGGT